GTGGATACCACAAAGCTTCCTCCCAGAAGGTAACAAGGAAAACAGGTCGTGAAGAGGATGTGTAGTGTCCCAGATAATCTTACAGACCCTGCTCAAGCAACGCTTCTGTGCTATGTCCTGGATGGGAGGGAGGGAACAGCCAATGATCTTTTCAGCCATCCTCACCACTCTCTGCACCGCCTTTCTGTCTGAAGCAGTGATGCTTCCAAACCAGACTGTGATGCTGTATGACCAATCCTAGGTGGTGTTTTGATATAGAAAAGTTCTCATTGTTAAACAATTATGTTCATACATTTCTAGCGAGAGACCCTACTTCAAAAAGGTGCCGGTCTGGAATTGGAAAGTCCCCATTCAACTGTGAAGTTCACTGGATAACGTTGAGCCATTCTTTCCCTATTTTAACCCAACCAGCTTGACTAGCTTGCTGTTATGAAAATAAAATGAGGAGACAGTCCCTCCTTGTACACTGACTTGAACTCAAAAGATGAAATGTGTATGATAATAAACTCGCTCATCCACCTGGTTAGTTGAGAGATGCTGGTGTTGTTTTGGTCGCAAGAGGTTAAAGCCGCCATACCTCTGGCAACTTAAATTATACTTGAATCGCACAATATCTCAAAAAAATAAAATAAAAGTAAGCTGCTTCCAACTCCCAGCACATCCTTCCTTTGGGGTTTGCATCTCTAGATGCTGTGAAAGAAGAAAACTTGCAATGGAGCAGCTTTCATTATGATGTTGCTACTGCCATCTGGTGTCTTGATGCTGTTTTTAGCAGAGCCAGGAGTTTTATTGGATTGAAGTGAAACAAAGCAAAATACAGGCTGCTTCAGCTATGATGGTTTATTATTCCATCAAAGGAGACCACGGCCAGGCTCCAGAATAACAAGCAGCCCCTTGGATTTGAATGTACAGGTAGTCCTTGATTTACAACTCTTTGTTTAGTGATTGTTCAACGTTATAAAAGGCACTGAACAAAGTGACTTATGACCAGTTTTCACACTTGTGACCATTGCAGCATCCCCATGGTTACGTGATCAAAACTCGAGTGTTTGGCAGCTGGCAATGTACTTAGGACAGATGCAATGTCCCGGGATTATGTAATCATTATTTGCAATCTTCCCAGTCAGCTTCTGACAAGCAAAGTCAGAGTGGAAGCCAAATTCGCTTAACAACTGTGATAAAAAGATCATAAAATGGGGCAAAACTCACTTAACAACTGTTTTGCTTAGCAAAGGAAATGTTGGGCTCAATTGTGGTCGTAAATTGAGGACTACCTGTACTGAAGACGGACCTAAGGTGGCTGGGGCTTAACTCTGGGATATTAGTTCAGAATGAAACCTGTGGAGCTCTAGTAGGGAATAAGAGTACTATTGGATTACACTGAAGGTTCTTCTGCTTGGACACCCTGTTTATAGCTAAGTAGCTGATCTCTGCTGATAGAAACTGCATCTCCCTCTCTCTCTCTCTCTCCCTCTCTCTCTCTCTCTCTCTCTCTCTCTCTCTCTCTTTCTTTCTGGGCTGTTTGGGTCAGATCTTGAGGCTTAAGAAAGGCAATAGGGAATCTTTTTTAGCCTGAAGGTCTTGTTACTTCAAAGCTTTCTGAATGGGGTAAGGAAAGGTGGCAATTATGGTAAGGCTAGAGTTGGCAACACACATACAGTATGCACATTCTACACACACATACAATCTTCTGAGCAAGGCAGCAGATTCCAATAAAATTCTCAATGCCCTGTTGAAGGAAAAGTCTTCATCATGGTTCAGTCCAAGCTGGGAATAAACAACATGGCGACTGCTTTAGAAAGAAGGTTGCAGTTTATTGAAGAGGAGAGCCAGACAGAAAGATGGCTCTGGAAGAAAAAAAAGAGAGCACATGTAGGGAGTGGGTTTTTATACCCTCTGGAGCCTTTTGTTTGGAGTTGTTCCTGTGGCATGAACTTTGACCTGAGTCTGAGTGTGCCCTTTGGCATCTGTGGGTTAATCCTATTATGTCTTAGAATTTGGGTGGGGTATGTAGATTTTAGGTGTCTTTGTCTTCTTAATCTTCTAGCTTCCACCTTCCTGAATGGTTTACATCTGCATTTCTACAGAGCTGGTTTCTGCTTGGGGGAGGGAGATTGGGACTATTAAGAAAACTGAACATGCCTCTTTAAGATCCTTTGAGGAAATATATTTTTCTGCCCTTTAATATTTCCTTCTCTGCGGGGCTGACTTCCCACAGCCCTTTACATCAGCCAAGTCTTGGTAAAGCAAAAGTAAGGACTTGCAGGCTGGCTCCAACCTGTGAGCCCAACCCGATCTTGTATAAATTTGGGGATTCAACAAATTTGGCTTTCATCCAAGATCCCAAAGATGTATGTAGTCACAAGCCAGTCCCTGCAGTTGTTCTGCCTAGAGTCTTGGTGCTTTAATTCTCCTGTTCATATGCTACCATTTATTCTTTTGGTAAATAAAGCCGCTGAATAATTTCTTTAGAACAGGTGACTTTTCAACCAAAGCATGGAGTGTTTGTTCTGATCAGGGCTCCAGCCCTGCACGTGAAAGCCTTGTGGCTTGCATAAACAAAACTGAACTGCTGTTAGAACTTGCACCTGGTCTCTGTGGAAAAGTTGACATGTTTTTCTTCAGTTGCTGCTATAAAAATTAAATGCTGATCTTAGATACTATAAACATGGAACAAGAAATGAGAATAATTGCTAAAAAAAACCCCAAACAAACTCATCTTTTCCATCATTTTTTTAAAAAAAATAAATTTTCATTTTTTTGCTTCATTTTTTAGAGTTGTGAGGTTCTGTCAATATTTTATTTGCTATGCTATGCAGACAAACATTAAATTATTAATAGGATACAGCATATTTACTTTTAGCCCAATGAAAACTTAAGTTTTATTTATGGGCTATGGGGGTTTGTCACAATAATTAATCTTATTTCATGATCCAAATTATCTCAAACTTTGAGAATCTCTGATTTAGGCAATCTTTGTGCCAAGAAGTTATATATGGACAGGAATTAAGTAGTTAATCGTAAGTCCTGCAGTAATATTAATTGCCCCTTGTTCTTCTGTGGCAGGGATTAAACTAAGGGGAAAAAGTTGAAAGGTTATTTAAATACCTGTCCTTTACTCCTTGTGTTAATTTCATCCTCAAGTACTTTGCTGGTGGGTTTTTTTTTATGAAGTACAATTGTTTTTAATTAATGTGTCTGTCAATACACTGTAGATTTCATCATCTATTGTAAATCTTTCAGCTATAGATTTATTCATGTTATTAGGGAGATTAAGGATCTAGCCTAAATTCTTTGTATTGTCCATTTCTGGAGTTTTGTGATCAAACAAGGCAACTTGGTAATAATGGACTTAGGCAGACATTGTTGGCTGACCAAATTAACTGAAGTGAGTGGTCACATTTAAGCCTCACTTGAAACAATAAGTATCTCAGCAAACAGAGAGCCCACCTCGATCAAGGAGAAATCTCCAAAATTGTATCAGGGGTGTTCCCTTTATTAGGTTAAGTCAAGTCCACAGAACAATATCTAAGCTTTTGAGTTCATAATAACTCTTAATTAGATAAAGAGCCAGTTTGATCTAGTAGTTAAGACACCAGGCTAGAAAGCTGGAGATTGTGATTTCAAGTCCTGCTTTAGCTATGAAAGCTGGCTGGGTGACCTCGGGCCAGCCACTGTCTTTCTGCCCAACCCACCTCACAGGGTTGTTGTTGCTATGGGAAAAGTAGGAAAAAGAAGGAGTATTAGATATGTTTTCTCCCTATACGGCGGCAAGGTTATTGATTGGGCAATATTGGAAAAAAGATTCCTTGCCTACCTTAGAGGAATGGTTTTTTAAAGTTTATTTATCAGAAATGGCTAAAATTTCGGCTTATCTGAAAGACCATTCACAAGAGAGATATAATTCTGTATGGAAAAGATGGGTAAATTTTGTTCAGAATAAATATGGGATTAGAAAGTATTATTTAGCTTTTGAATAACTTATAGCGTAAAGTTGTTATGGATTTTAATGTAATGGAGTTAAAGGGTTTTTTTTAATTTTTTTAGGATTTATGTATAGTTGATTGATGTTTATTTAATTTTTATGTTTTTTCTTTTGCTGTTTTTAGCTCTGTATTCAGCTCTGGGAAGGGGGGGAAGGGTAAAGGGGGGGTAGAGGGAGGGAGGTGGGGAGGGATTTCATTGTAAAAAGTTTATAAAAATTTCAATTAAAAAAAAAGATACGTTTTCTCCCTTGAGTTTTTTTGTAAAAATAACAAAGGCAGAATATAAACAAACAAACAAACAGGAGGGGGGATTTATGACCCAGGGGTCACATGTGCTCTCCAAGTTCCACTTTAGCCTCTACAGCAGGCGTAGGCTGCATGAGGCCCTGGATAGCTAGCCCCACAATAAATAAAACAAAAATAAAAGGTTGGACACGCCTGCTTTACAGTAATCTCCTATTCAAATCACAAAGTAACCTATTTTTATTTATATAAAGTTTCACACTGGAAATATATATACTTGACTTACTATTTTTAATTTTTAGATTTGTATCACGCTTTTCCTTCAAGAAAAGGCAGCTTACGAGGTTCTTCCTTCATTTTATCCCCCTAAGAGCAGTGCTTTGAGAAAGGAGTCACTGACCCGAAAATCAATCAGTCATATATTATCTATGGTCACTTGAATCTGGATCTCCCCCACTCTCGGATTAGTACCTTTACTGCTACATCAAATTGGATAAATTAAAAATAATAATAAACAAACATAATCTATCTCTTTAGTAATTGGATGGATATAAATGAACTCTGAAAAGTGTGGGTAGATATTATAATTTTGTCCAAGCTCCGGTGCTTAATTCTCCACCATATTCTGGGAAAGATTCTCTGCAGAGCCATCTCTCTCTGATGTTATCTGTAATATGGAGTGTGCTCTGCTGCCCTTTGACCATTCCTCCTCCTCTCCTGATATACCGCACAGTGTGCCACGCTCTGCCGTACTTCCTCCCCCAGAAGGAGACAAAGTCTATTAGCCTTGTGAGGTCAAAGGCTCTCTCAGGCATTAGAATTGCCTCCATTTTCCTGATGTTCCCTCTGACAATGAGCTGAAAGGTAGGTGATTATGATTCTGGAAAATGGTTCAGAGATCTGCCTTAGATCAAAGCAAACATTTGCACCTTCTCCTTCTGAACCATCTGCTGAAGGATCTTCAGGGTTTTTAGTAGGAGTCTTTCCTAATCCTCCTTAAAGATGCTTTTGCTTGAGAAATAGGTACTCTGCCACTGAAATACTTCGGGGTGATTCAATCCATGAAAGTCTGGAGGGGCTACGGAAGCAATGCTTTGATTAGGAAATGATTCATTTTTTAGATGATAAATGATAAGAAAGTACCAAAGGTTCCCTGGATTAGTTGCCAGGAAAATGAAGTTGGCACTAGGTTCTCCTGCATGGTATCATAATGCAGACGCCTAGACCCAGAAAAAAAGGCAGCCAGTCACTACCAGGGAGGGTGTGGTTGAGACAGCAGGAAGAAATCAGGACCCTTGGCTAGCCTTGCGCTGCAGATACTGCTATATTTTACTGCTTCTCTCTCCCCCCACAGAACTATTATTTGGCATCCAGGGAGGATGGACTACAAAAAACAGCACTGTCTGCAGTGAGACGTCTGGTGGTGCTATGGCCAAATGAGATGGCCAAACGTCTTGTGGTGGCTATTGCTCTCTGGGCTTTGGGGGGCCCTACTGGGCTTCACCATCTCTACTTAGGCAGAGATAACCATGCCTTACTCTGGATGTTGACTTTGGGTGGCTTTGGCATAGGGTGGCTTTGGGAGCTGTGGCTGCTCCCTGGTTGGGTAGCACAGGCAAATGGTACGCCAGACTTGCCCAACAGTCAACTCCCACCTTTAAACCCTGTGCGTTTTCTTGGCCAAGCTTTAGTAGGCATCTATTTTGGGGTAGTAGCTTTGATTGGTCTCTCTACTCTGCCAGGTTTTTACTTTCTGGCCCTTCCTCTGGCTGTGGGTCTTGGAGTTCATTTGGTGTCTGAAGTGGGCAACCAAGCCTCCAATCTTCAAGCAACCTTAACGGCTGCCTTTATAACTGCACCAATCTTCTATGGCCACCCTCTGGGGATCTTGCCCATTACTCTCACCACTAGTGTGACAGCCCAGAATTACCGACGCTATAAAACCGTCAATCGCACCAAGAAGAAGCTTAGCCTCCGACTTTACCGACTAGGCCTGGCCTATCTGGCATTCACAACACCACTGGCCTACTCTGCCTTCAGCAATACAACAGCAACTGCCAACTACATAGCCAGCACGATTGGAGCAGCCCTGGATTATGTCAGCGTGTTTCCATCATTGAGTGGAATATTGGAATGGGTGCTGCTTCTCCCTTACCGTGCCGGGAAGATGTTGGGTTTAAGTGGTGGCTATTTCCAGGAATGGGAAAACATTTTAAAATTTGTACAATCTTTCCAGGATGAAAGATGTCAGATGGCGTATCAGGTACAGTGGACTTTATTATTTTTCAGCCTTTGGAAACAGTAAGTTTCATGTTTCCTACAAATTATCCAACAGGATCAGGGCCGTCCTCAACTCTGAGGGAAGAATGTTCCAGAGGACAGGGACTATAATAGAGAAGATACGTCTCCCTGCCAGTTGACATTCCTTAGGTGATGGGGCCCATAGCATATCCAAATCATTTACTACCCATGCAGTCACATTTTGCACCAGTTGAAGCTTCTAAATGTTTTTCAAGGACAGCTCCATGTAGGGTGCATTGTAGTGATCCAATGTTATATAGTCAAATATAGGATATGAGAATCTCTGCATGTCATGATACTAAATCTTTCCTAACATTCTGGACTAGCACAGGAAGGATAAAAAAAAGTCAAGCTGATGGTCATTACTACACAATAAAACCCGTTCCCTTTGTATATCCATCACAGTGTTTATAAGCTTTGGTTGCACATTTGTGACCACCCTCTTGATTGTTTTGCCCCTTCCCACAGTCATCCTTGGTTCAGCTTGTCATATTTTTGTGCCTTCAAGTTAGTTTTTGATTCCTGGCGATTACTTGAACTAGACAAGTTTTCTAGACAAGGTCTTTCAGAAATGGTTTGCCATTGCTTTCCTCCTAGGGCTGAGAGAAAATGACTGGCCCAAGATCACCTAACTAGCTTTGTATCTAAGGCAGGACTCACAGCCTCCCAGTTTCTAGCTGATGCCTTAACCAGTACATCAAACTGGCTTATGTCACCAGAGACTAAAATTCTCACTTCAAGCCTTGCATATCAAACAACTAGCTTTGCATATATTAAACAACCACAATTTGTATTAATAGTAAAAGGGCATTAAAGGAAGCTCATATAGTAGTATTGTACGGTGTACAAGATAAAACAACAAAATGTAAGTCATGTTAAATCTAATTATACCAAAAAAAGTAAGTGAAAAATTCTTATTCAATTCGGTAATAAAATCTTCTATTTTAACAGTATTTAAAATAGACAAGCAACTAAATAAACACATCAGAAGACCCTACCTAGCCAATAATTTTGCATTGACATTCATTTACTAATTTTAAACACTACTTATGAAAAGAATAAGATTTATCTGAAACTAGAACTATTTGCTTGTAAGGGAAAGAGTTCAAAGGGCAAAGAAGTAAACAATGTGGTAAGTTGTCTGTCACACCTACTTGCTCCGGTATTGACTATTTCTTCCATTTACAGCATATTTTCCTTATATCTTAGAATTAAAATTCTCAGAATTCTTAATATATCCCTTGGTTTGAATTCTTAACTTGACTTAACACCAAGACCATGTTGATTGTAATGGCACTTTCTGAGATTATCTGAAACATTACACGTCATCTTTCAAGGCTGAAAATAGTATAGTATCTTACTGGCTGAAAGTTTTACCTAAAATATATGACTAGAGATAATAACAAGGCTCTTCAGTTTTGATGTCTTTGGATGTAGAAAGAAAGAACAGACAAGGGTGTTTTGCAGAATTGCAAGAAAGTGTCTTTATGCTTAGCTTTTCAAAGCTCTGCAAATTAATGTGCTCTACTATTATGAAGGGATTTTTATTGTGCTTATGATTTTAGTATGTTTAAGTTTGACATTAGCATTTATTTTATATATAGTAACCATTTTATATTGATACTTATAGTGTTATCATGTAATCATTGTTTTGTTATTTTGTAATCATTATTTTGTAGTTAATTGCTTGATCAGATGCTTTATATATACTGTATATATTGAAAAAGTAAGGGCTTCATGCTTTAGGTACAGGTGATTGCTTATATCAGTGGTTCTCAACCTTTTTAATGCCGCGACCCCAAGCAGTCGTAAGTCGAGGACTACCCAACCGGTCGTAAGTCGAGGACTACCCAACCGGTCGTAAGTGGAGGACTTTCCCTGCCTGGGAGCACCGCGCATGCGTGGTGCCGCCCCTTGCGCCAGCCGAGGCGTAGCTGGCAAGTGGCAGAGATGGAGCAGGCCGACCACTGGCTGGGCCACCAGCTGGCCCACCCCAAGGGAGGTAAGGCACCTGTCGGGCCCCACGCGCGCCAGCAACCCTCCCTGCGTCCGCTGGCCTCCCACCTCTCATCCCTGGCCCTTTTTTGCTTACATTTTTAGTAGTTGCTCAGCAGGGAGGGGTGGAAGCTTCCAGACAGCTCGCCTTCGCTGCAGACAACTTGCAGCACCGTTTGCAGACTGGGACTTTTGGCGGGTTCAGCAGGGCAGAGACAGCCTGGACAATTCCTATTGGCTTTTGAAAGCCAATAGAATTAGACTCTATTCAAGAGAATCTATTCTATTGGCTTTTAAAAGCCAATAGAATAAAAGGGAGTAGCACAGCTAAGGAAAAGGGGGAAAAAAATGGCGGACTGCGTTGTTTGGCGACCCCCGTGAAATAGTCGTTCGACCCCAAATGGGGTCCCGACCCACAGGTTGAGAACCACTGGCTTATATGAAAAGAGCACAGTAGGGGGAGGGGGAAAAGGAGTTACGGATGGAGCCTGGGTTGCTGTATATGAGTCACCATCTAAGAATTATTTTTTTTGTGCCATCTTATGCCTGGTACCAAGACCTGATCTTTTTGTTCTGGAAAGGTATAAAAGGTGGAAGACATCTTTTCTGGTTGTTGCCTTCATTCCTCTATCAGCCACGAAGAGGAATCAGGTGGCCCTTCTCTGTTTTGATCAAAATAAAGTTGTAATCTTTGTTGAAACCTCGGCTCAGGAGTTTCTTTGGCTTTTAAATTCCTGAGTAATGCTGGGGCAATTGTGAGGCTAAGTGGAAAACCTTACATTAGTTCAAACTCTATAAAAATCATCCTTCATTGGATTTTTGGCTTTTATAGATTTTCCAATAAGTTGTAACAGTACGTGCAAGAAAATTATTCTTTGTTCTCTCCACCTCCGCTCCATCACTGACAAATGACTAGTTTATTTCTTTCTTAGATGCTACCCTTCCTTTATTGCTTTATAAGTAACTCAAGACAACAAATATGCTCCTTCCTCCTCGTCCTCCTTTTCCCCACAACAATCCTGTCAGGTGGGTTGGGCTGAGAGAGACTGGCCCAAAGTCACCCAGCCAGCCAATTATCAATTAGATAATTGACAATTAAAATATTAGTGAACTCACAGCTGTGATAGGATGCTGATTCACCTCTCTCCTCTTCTTCTAGATCTTAGGTGTCCCTAATGATGCCACTCCAGAAGAAATTACCAAAAGTTACAGGGAGCTGGTGAAGCTTTGGCATCCTGATCATAATCGACATCAAGTAGAAGAAGCTGAAAGACGTTTTATTGAAGTGCAAGCTGCCTACGAACTCCTCATGCAGACAAAGAAGCCAAAATCTGCATGACTGCATTTTAGACAGCACAGAAATTTTTTTACCATCAAACAGCTGGGGATTAAACCATTATTATTAAAGTAATGGTTCTCAAAATAACATGGACCAAGATATCAAAAAGGGAATCAGTGCCATCAATCTTTGCTGGTTTCTGCCCCTGAAATATATGTACGATATCAAAAGAAAGGTATCTTATTTATCAAATAAATCCTACTATGTTAACAATGGGAAAATGAACCTCATCCTTTCTAACTTCAGTGAAAATAAAATAAGAATTGCATAAAATCATCTTGCAGGGGAGATGGGCAGCACAGAAATTTAATAATAAATAAAAATGTTCTCACTAATTTTCTTTGTATTTTATTGCTGGTTTATATTTATGACTAACTTTAATTATAGTGATTGGTTATGACACTGCTACCTTGAAAACTTTTACACTATAGACATGCGTTTCTTAAATTAGAAAAATCAAGAAAGCGTTTAGCCCAAGGTAAGTTTAGTATGCAACCTCATGCTGTGCATGCATAGAAATCCTACTGAATCCATTATTGCATCATAGGTTTCCTTAAACTTGTTACATTCCCTCTAAATTGCTTGCTTAATACTCCTTTCCATATTTCTTTTAAGTTTTAATTGTCCCGATGTTCTCTTTGATAGAGCAATAGCATTAAATCTTATAAGTTTCTCTTTTCCCACAATATTTAATTATCCTCAACCTGAGTAAACAGCAAACTTGGCCATCAGTTTTATTATGATGTAGCATTTGAAAGAGTACTTTTCCTTTACACTGCAGTTTATCTTGCTAATTTTTCTTGAGTGCTTTGATGACTGTAGTTGGTAAATCATACACCAATATTTTTATTTATTATATATTTTATTAATTACCTTTTACTGGAAACACAGTATGAATTATTGGTTTGAAATACTTACATGGTCATCTAAGCCCAGCAGGTGACACTATTGAGCTATTAACAGAAAACTGATTTTTTTAAAAAAATCAGGTCTGGATGTAGTAGCCTTCAAAAAAGTTTTATCTGTATTTTAGAAGCAGCACCACACCCTAAATATTATGGCTGGGAAGACAATGGGTCTCCAGCCAAATTTAGAAATCATTTTGAGGTTTGAAGGTAAGTGATGCTTTGTCTAAAAGATGGAAGATTTGGGGAGAATTTAAATCAGACAAATTCAATGAGAACTGAAATTCATTATAGTATCACTGTGGAATCCTGCACAGAATGTGCCATTGTCTAATCATGGTACAAACCTTCTGAGATTGATTTCACCCTACACTAATGTGGCTTGTTACGTTTTTGAGCAATGTTCACATTCAGCCAATCATTGCCTGTGAGAGCTCAGCAAACCTGCAGGTTTTTTTTTTCCTTAAAAAGTGTTAGTATAAAAGGGCCTACACTGAGACAAATGTCTAGCATAAAAGTGAAATCATGAATTGATATGCTCGATGAATTCAGAAACATGGGTCGAGAAGCCATAGGTAAGCTATCCATGGTTCAGTAGGTCATGCCATCCACGTCAACATCCTCAGGGACAGATATTCTGAATCTCTCACATAAAACAGGGCAGACGCACAACGAATAACAACGGCTTATACATAGAGCCGGCATACAGAAAACTTAAAAAAAGTATAAGCGGCGTGCAGGTATTAGGGGGGGGGGGCGGAGGCGTCCACCGCCTCCACCAAAACTCTGGAGCCACTCAATGAAAGAGCCTAAGCAACCGCCGTCAAAGGATCCTCCTTCGGCCGTTGCAGGAAAGAACGCGCATCTCCACACCTTGTTTCAGGATTCGCAGAAGGCGAGGAAAGAACGGCGAGAGACGTTATTGGGTAGCCAGAGCTCCTCGCGCCCCTCCGTACGCCTGGATTGGGTCTCCTTCCACGGCTTTGGCAATTGGTTTAGCGTAAGTAACCATCCGGCCGAAACAACCTCTTTCGTGGTCGCTGATTGGGTCTTTCTAACGCCTAAGCCGATTGGACAACGGGTAAAGCGCTTCGGTGGCTAGAGCGGTTCCGTTGTCCTGGAGCCGAACTCAATTTTGGATCTTGGAGGGGGGGGGAAGGAGAGAAAAGGTGGGAGTGAACTCGGTTCTCCGTTGCTCCTATTGGCCGGCGCTCCGCCGAAGAGAAATACCTTTCTTATTGGCTGAAGGAAAGAGGGCGCCTGTGTCCGGTTGGCTGTTGGGCTCGCGCAGCCTTCGACGATTTTGCTCTCTCGGTCTCTCCCTTACGGGTGGGCGGGGCTCACTTTCCCCGGCGCTTGGCGGCGGCGGCCTGAGGTGAGGACGTGAAAGTGGAGTGGCTGAGGTTTGATGAGGTTTTCCGCCGAGGTGGGTAGGACTGTTGGCGCGTGGGAACAAGGCGAAGAGCGGGGATTGGGCGTCATTGGTGGGGGGGGATGAAAAGCATGTGGGGAAGGAGCTTCGGAGGGGAGAAGCTGGAAGCGGTGATGGGGAACAAGGAGAGGAGTCGTGGCACAGGCAGGCAGCTGAGCGAATGGCCTGTGTTGGGGGAATAAGGGGTGGGCTCAGAGGCAGGCCGTTGAGGGGCGGCGGGCTGGAGAACGCAGAGGCGATGTGGCGGTGGGAGGAGGGATTTAATATGTGGCAGGCAGGACTGAAGCTCAGCCCAGAGCCTTGGCGACTCCCGAACTCCACAGCAGAGGAACAATATCTGCATCCCACGAAAAAATAAAAAGAAAGAGCGCACGCGGAAAAGTGGACGCCTTGGCTTTGCAAAAAAAGAGTCCTTTACGGATAAGGACATCCCTTTCCCAGGAGAACTCGCAAAGAACAATTTACAAAACAGGCTGCAGGGCAAGCAGTTCGATTTAGGAGAACCGTTCATCAAGCAACCTGGTAAACGCCTTCAGAAGGATGCAAAAAAGTCCTGATCTTGTCTAGAGGGATTTCTTTTCCATACGGAATTAGAGTGTTCCCACATGCCCTAAACCTTTAATTCCACTGTCACCCCCTTCTCCCACCCAGCACTGGGAGAGGGAGAGGGTGAAAGGAGGAAGAAGGCAAAATAACAATGGGGATTATGAGGTTTATAAAAAAGCAAGTTGTAGCAGTACTATAGACTAGTGCCTGCTGCTATAATATTTGCATCTGAACTGCAGCATTTTGGTATTTGAAAAACATATTTTCAAAGGGAAACAGCAGTAGCTAAAGAGTGCAAAAGTAAAATATGTTACTGCTGAAGTGAATTATAGTTATTGGTATTCTGGAAAGATACAGTAACAATGTACCGGTGTGCCCTATTTGCAATGGAAAGGTGAAACAGAGAAACTTATATGTCTGGAGATTCTGCATCATCCAGTTCATGGTTGTCCCAAAGGTGATTTTTCCAAAAGGCAACTGGACTTTCTTTTCACCAAGAAAGTCCAGTTGCCTTTTGGAAAAAGCACCTGTGTGACAGAAGCTTATAGGGAGCATGGCTTTAGACTGAATGGAATTATATTAGTTAAGCAGAAAAGATAAATCGAGGCAAAACAGAGAGGAAAAGAATGTCCTAAGATTGGAGGATGAGTTTTCCTGTTTAATTATACAGTTCCATTCACACAGTGCTAATCTAACTGTAGTTTGTGGCTTTAATGTAAAATGTATTTCCTTTCCAAGAAAGGAAATACATTTATTTCCCTGATTACAAAGATGCATGTAAGTTGGGATAAACAGTTTTGATCCTTAGGGCTTTTGCTATTTGTTGTGACGCTTCTTTCTTATGATGTTTGAAAGTAATTGAAAGTTATGGACTGTGAACATCCAGAGCTCTTCATGTTCATGATCAACAAGACTAAAATAGCTTGGTAAGGGACTACTGTACTCAAAGCCAATTAGCCAGATGTTGCTGTTTAACATAGATGTTGTTCAGGCTTTGAAAAGGGTAAACTTTTTTTTTGTTCAGTACCACAGAATGAAGCGGAAAAACAAACTAGATCTGACTATGGAGTGGTTGCTGTCTTGGTTCAAAGTACATTGGCCACCAAAAACTTTGGATGTATTGATCTACAGTGGCAGATTTCTGAGATCATCAGATACATCATAGACTAATGATGCTACATAAATATATTTCTATATAAATATAGAAAGCATAGTTAGATAAGGTATTATTTAAGGATAGAAAGGAAACTCTGCAGTTACTTTTACAACTTTTTTTAGGTATTAAAATTGCACATGTGACTAGATGTTTTGTGTTTGTGATAAAATGACAGCTATCTGTTCCATTTTATATTGAATAGTTGGTTGCATTTGTAATTTACTCCTTATTTAAAGTACTAGATTAGAGTGACTTTTATTTGATGTCCTGATCTGTGCAATTTAGAAATGCTTTCAAATCAAATTTATTTACTTCAGTTATAGATCTGTTGCATCTGCAGTATGGAATATTAAGGAATATCATTAACATTAGTCTTCACTTAATGTATGCCAAAGAATCCTCAATGGTTAAATAAAATGGAGCTTTAAAAACCATAATTTATTCCTTAACAACACTTCTATTAGGCTGTTTTATTTGGCATTGGAAGTCAATCCCCTTGATTGTTATAGATAGAAAGACAGACAAAAAGAAAGGAACTATACATTGCAACTAATAACAATAACAGGACTTTTATTCTCAGAATATAAAATTTGACAACAGGACTGTATGTTATTATCAGTACTATACTTAATTTTAGAATGCATTCAAAACTCTTTAAATATTCTCTACATTGCTGAATTATTTGCTTTAAATAAAATTTGAATTTATATGCAATATTTCTATATTGTAGATCTTTCTAGAGCTGTGCAACTCTCTTAGAAAAGAGACATCTTTCAAGCCAATTTGATTTAATGGTTAAGGCATCAAGCTTGAAAGCCAGAGACAGTAAGTTCTAATCCCACCTTGAAAGGCAGCTGGATGTCTTTGGGCTAGTCAGTGTCTGTCAGCCCAACTCACTTCAGAGGGTTATTGTTGTGAGGAAAATAGAAGGAGGAATGTATGTTGAATATGTTTGCTGTAAAAATAATGAAGGTGAGATACAAATAAATGCAATAAATAAAAATAAAATTCAGAAACATATTTCTGAATTGTTAAAGTGGCTGTATCTTTTTCCAGGCTTAAGTGGTTGCTTTGGAAGCCATTTGTGGTCTTCTCTGCCTATGTATCCATAGACAGTGATTTCATTTCATGTTCCCACTTGTTCTAGAACACCTCTTTTGAGGGGCTTGCACAATCTACTTCTTCTTGTGCCATATCCATTATAGGATGTTGGCTATCATGTTGGCAATCCTGTTTTTATCAGCAGCCGCACAAAAAAGTGCTGCTGAGTTTTGTCCAAACCAGTCCCTTAGATTTTGAAGCCATGATGTTCTTCTTCTGCCTGGACCTCGTTTGCCTTCAATATTTCCCTGGAGGATTAAATGGAGTATGCCGTATTTTTCTGGGTGTTGCATCACATGTCCGAAATATTCTAATTTTCGTTTTTTAATTGTTTTGATGGTTTCCCTTGGCTTTCCCAGGTGGCTTATCAACTCTATAACCATGTGCAAATCTTCATATACTGCTTATCACTTTTGGGGATAAGCAGGATCGAAAGCTGTTCTAATTCTATTGTCTTCATCTTTGTTATAAAGTTTATTTGGTTATAGATTTATATTAAGTCTTTTCAATTTTTTTACAAGTAAAAACCTACTTTTCCAAATTTTGAGCAATTTATTTCATAACTATCACACCTATAGTCTATATTTATAAAGTATAGTATTTATACTTTATAAAGTGTGGTACCAGATATTGCATTCTGACAATAAGTGTTGTGGTTTTGATTTTTCGAATTCATCTTATTGAGGTACAACCCTGTGGAATTCTCTGGGAATGAGTAGCATTGACTTCAGTGTGACTTTTGAATAGGATTGCACTTCAAGAGAAGATGGTCCTAATCACAGATGGGTTTAACAGATTGATACAGCACTGCCAAGGAGGGAGGCTTGCTGTCTACAATTGCACAGAGTTTCAGAAGTACTTCTGCTTTTTGAGTGGCCTTGAAATTGAATGCAGCATTCAAATAATTGTGTGCTATCTGTTTATTCTTGAGCTCATTTGGTGACTGTAAAGTGTGAATCTTTGAATCTCTTTCAAGAAAGATAGTGAAAAATTGAGTTTTAAAAAAATGCAGGTTAATCCACCCAAAGCACCACTTACTCTTCTGGCTGCCATTATCAATTGTACATGATGAACACATGTTTAGAAATGCTGTTTCATCAACATGGGATTCTTCAATAGTGTAGCTAAATGGATGCTTAATATTCTTACGAAACCAATCGTTTTTGACCAAGTCTTGTAACAAACAAGTGCTTTTTTTTGTTCTTGTAATTCCAACTAGATGTAGCCTTGAGTATTATGAATGTTACAAAACCAACAATGAATGTTAGGTTAAGTTGTTTCATAGGACACTATTCAAAACAATTATCTTTTTCTACTCTACGATAGGCAGAAATTCAGATATAAGCCAATACATCACATAGTGCAGGGATGGGCAGTTAGTTTTACCAAGGGGCGACATGAAAAGCAGGGACTGTTGTGGAGGGCTGAACAGTAGGACTGTGAAGGTGCACAGGCATGCATCCACCCACATGCATAAACTGAAAAAGAAGCAGTTGCCTTCAAAATAAAAACAATCCACTTGGGCCAGACAGGGATAGCCAAAGATCTGGATGTGACCTGGGGAAGGCATAAAATGTGCAATGCCCAGGTCTGATTAGTGTATACTTGCTTGATGTATTTTAATTGCAACGTGATAACATTCTGAAAGAACTGATGGCCAGATTTATTACAGAATAATAATCTGCACTTAAGTTCCATCATGATTATCTTCTCCCAATCTGGGCAAGGTAGATTTTTTTTTTCCAATATTTTTGTCACTACCCATTTTTATAGAGGATATACATCATAATTCTTATTTTTGTATATCTATGTCCAAGCTTCAGTTAGAGTAGTTATGAGTGCACCATTGGAAGATTTGAAGTTAGGGATAGACTGTCATGAGAAAATCTTATGTGGTCACTAGGAGTCAAAAACAATTTGATGGCAAATAAATCAAAATCAGTGTCCAGTATTGTTCACCAGAAGTCAAACATGGATTCAAAGGCATATTTAAAAAAAAGTCTTAGTATATTTTTGCTTTTTCACTGTTTGCTGTGTTCTTGATCTTAGTAGCCTCCAGTTGGACAAAGACACTGTCCCTTTCTAGCTTGTGAAACTTCATAAAGTATTAATATTGTATAAATATTAATGTAGCTGATGGCTGGCTACAGATATTATGAAGCCAGGTTTTTTTTTTGAAGTATTCAGGTCTAACTCAGTTTATAAGAAACTGTTTGTTACAGTTTTGAGATTTTAAAAATGTTATTTCATGCAGTCCATAAGTGTGATTAGTTTTCTATTAGTATGCTTGGCTTCCGGCTGAATAGATTATTGTCTTTTAGAAAAATAGTTGCATGAAACAGCCCCTGCTTTTATGTAATGCTTCTAGAGTTGCTAGCTGATTTTGGGACAGTTATTCATGAGCAAGGATCAACATGCTTATTCTCACAGCAATTATTTTGTCTTGGGGGAAACAACTATAACAACAGCGCTTTGTATAGCTGGAATAACTGATCTAGCCACTATTTTTTAAAGCATAATTCTGTGTTAAAAGCTGGAAGCTAATCATCTTGGGCTACAGTCCAAAGTTGCCATTTGGTATATAGACAAATACTGCAGTGATACACCAGATATAGATGTATCTCTGATAATGTTTGACAATATACCGTTTAGTTTTTAAAATATGTCATGGATATATAAGCTGTACCAACTGTATACCCTATATAATTGATTTCCTTGATTTACAACTTTATTTCTAAAATTTTAAAAGTGTCCGTCTCCCTCACAGAGGGACTCTGGACAGTGTGCAAATAAAATATTAAAAACATAAAAACAGTATATAAAATTTAAAAAGCAATCAGTATTAAAAATTAAAAGGCAGAGGGAAAGGGCTTTCAGAGTACTAACCAGCTACGTGTCCCTCTGTCCACCCCAAGTAAGGCCGCAGAGCCATGTTTTCACACCTTTCCAGAAGCCCAATAGAGTGGGGCCTACCTCACCACTGGGGGAAAAGTATTCTACAGGGCAGGGGCAAGAGCAGAGAAGGTTGTCTTCCTGGACACCGCCAGTCAGAATTCTTTAACCGAAGAATTCTTTAACCGATGGAATCCAAACATTCCTTCCTTGCCTGACCTGATGGGATGAATTGATGTAACAAGATGAAGACAGTTCCATAGCTAACCTGGCCCCATGCCATCTAGGGCTTAACTCTCAAAACCAACACCTTGAACTGGACCTGGACGCAAACCAGCAACCCAATGCAGCTCGTGCAGTAGAGGTGTTACATGTGCCGTTCTTTGGGCACTCAAACTTGCCATACAACCACATTTTGTACCAGCTGAAGCTTCCTGATAACTATTCAGAGGTAGCAGCAGTCCAAATGGGAGATGATCAGGTCATGAGTGAGTGATCCATTCAGACAGCGTCTGTGACTTTCATTGTTTGCTAATCAGAGAAAATACCTCCGGTAGAATAACCCATTCAGGGAATAAAATGGACTAGCTTAGTTAAATAATGTATGTTCCTGAAGTACTCTTTTTGAAGAAGAAAAAAATTGAATCGGTTTCAAGATGGGTGGAGACGGATCAAGATGCTTGAAACTTTTAGGATTGTGTATTTCTTTCAGCCAATTTTTTTTCCACTGAAATATTTTTCTATGTGGGAAGCCAAAGAAAGATATTGAAATAAAACATTTCTTAATAGCCAATATTTTTAATTGCAGTATTATTAACCTTGTTCTCTTATTTGCATCCTTTGTACAGTTGTGATCTTCATTTATTTTTTTCCCCAGACTCTGGGGGCTCTTGCATGTGATATGATGATAGGATGGTATTACTGATAGCATGCAACTAGGTGTGAGTGTTTTTTTCATTATTTGGGGTGATTTTTTTTATAGGTGTGTTAACATTGTCAAAACTTTAGAGTGTATCTGTTTTCTAATTGAAAAAAAAGTAGGAAAGGGTGTAGCTGTTGTTGTAAGTTGCACCATTTGGGAGACTATATGTAATTTGAATGTTGCAGTTCTTGAGATTTGCTTAAAATGCATAATAAACTCTGAATTCTTCTGAAACTGTAAGGTACATTCTTCTGGAAATATTGGTTGTCAAGTAGAGAACAGGAAGTTATATCTTGAACAAAAACTGAACCTTTAGCATTTTGAAATGGTATTTTTAATTGCCTGACTGATGTTGGATTGTATAGCTAACAGAGGTTTTAGATTTATAAGTACTCTAGACCAGACTAAATGAGTAATGTCTGAGTTTCAGAGCTGTTGAATTTACAGTGTTGTTGGCTTTGAGGAATTGCAAACTTTTAGGAAACAGTTTCATGATTCTTTGCTTGCCTTAAGTTTATTCTTGAATTTTAATATGAGGTAAATTATTTTTTTTAAGTGACAATCTATTATAGAAATAAAAGATTTTTCACATAAAATGTCCTAAGTATATTAAGAAATAAAACATCATTTATTAGTGGATTTGTACATATTGATTTTAGTTTTAAGTATTGAAACTCACCAGGACCTGAAATCTACTCAATAAAGCTTTAACAGATACTATTTTACCCATACTGAAACAGTTAGCATAGTTCTGTGTTTTCTAAGACATAATTGCAAGAAATGGATAATTCTACATAGGAAGCTCTCCATTAGAAGACTTTGATGGTGGGGGAAAAGGGGTCAAGAGATCAGTTGATGACTAGGAAGATTTCTTGTTTGGTTGCTTTCTTTTCTCACCCATACAGAGAGGATATAATGTAATTTTCTGTCCTAAGTGTTAATTTCAGAAATAGTCTATCATTGGAATTAGAATTAAGCAAAACTGCTATCATCCATAATGCTATATGCTAAAAGCTAAGAACTAAACAAAAAAAAAATGAATGTCTCAGTATTTAAAGTTTGGAATACAGTAAAATACTATTCTTATACGATCCTTTCTGTTCTTCAGTTTATATGTTTTAAAAGTAACTTTCAAGTTTGTGTGATTTTATACTGAAACTTTAATGCCATTTCTAGTGCCACCAAACAATTTTTAATTTAGTTTATTTTCTTTTATTCTGGTGGTAATAGCAACCCTTTTTTCTTATTTTTTCCCCCTGTGGCATATATGTAACTTTTTTTAAAAGGAGAACTGCAGTACCTTAAGAACGACAGCATTTCATAAATTCTTTTATGTTATATGTACTCATAAATATCACTTTGATACCATAAACTCTTTTTGCAATAATTCTGCTCATGAGTCAAACCTTCTCAGTGTTCTCAAAATGTTTTTATTGTGTAACTGTAAAATACATTAACTTCAGTTTCAGAATGCTAGCTGTTTAAACAGAGGGCAAAGTCTGCTAGATGTTATGCTGGCCTCGATAAGTTTCCCCTGTTCTTTGTTTTTACATTTTAGTGAAGAAACATTGAGTTTGGTGAAAATCGCCCCATTTTGGGGAATGCTGTTGCATAGTGACTACAACTTATTTATCCCGCATTATCCTAGATTTTTTTTTGTTAAAATAAATAGAAGTGATAAATTAAATTCCTCCTGTACGTTTTCCTTTTCAGAATCTGTAAAACAGCAACATGAACTGCTGTGTGGGTGCTTCCTGATGGAAGATTGGTGCTAAAAGAAAGACTCTACAGTCTTCAGCTAGCAGGATTTTGACAATTCTCCAGTTGCCTTGGGAGCTGGGGAGGTTGCTGTCTCTGAGCAGATATTTGCCATTTCCTGCCTGGATGCAAAGCAGTACTTGAATCACATCTGCTACTTTCATACTTGAGGAACCATATTTTTTGCTGTGTAACAGACATTAAATAAGACAAGCTATTATGTCTAAGAAGCAAAACCAAAAAGGTAAGGTTTAATATAGAGGTAGTATTACTAAGAAAAAGGACTATATAATAGATTGCTATCAAATATGGGAATTTAGTCAGTGTTAATACATTCATCAAAGTCAGGGAGGTTCTCTAATTGTTCTCTTACGTGTTTGTAAAGAAGAGAAATCCTGTTCACATCTTGCTAAATAAATATAAGATTACTTTTCTAAAGTACAATCCTTCATCCTTGTCTCAAATCGAAGAAGGAATGTCTTCAACATTTGAAAAAAGTGTGTTAGGAATTTAAACTAATGGCAGACATAAATAAATCTAGTTTTTCTTCAGAACCATCAATACTATGGTAACAACTGCAAGACCTGCTATGGCAGAGAGTTGTCTATTCTCTGTGCCTCATTTGAGGAATTGCACCTCTCTCTAGGCAGAATTTTGTCTTCCTGAGAAGTCAGTATAATTTTAAAGAACCACTACTTCGAAAGCATGCAGTGAGTAGATTAATAGGGACCACTTTGATGGGAAGGTAACAGCATTCCATGCACTTTTGGCATATAGCCATGTTGGCCACATCACCACGGAAAATGTCTTCGGACAATGCTGGCTCCCTTGGCCAAGAAATGGAGATGAGTATTGCTCCCTAGAGTCGGACACAACTGGACAGGGAAGCCTTTACCTTTTTGTTTTTTTAAAGGTCAGGAACAATAAATCTTATTGAAAACTGATATCTATATCTGCCTGTTAATATTAAGTAAAGAGTGTGTGCAAAGTATGTCTGTCTGCAAAAACATTTTATTTTATGTATGCAGGTTTTGCAAATGAAAGTTGCTGGTGTCTTTTCTTGATAAGGCTATGATGTATTTTTCATTTCCCTGCCCTCTCTTGGATGCTACTGATAATATGTCAAGAATCAAGGTTCACTATGTATGTTTGAGTTAACATGACATTTGGACAGGTTTTAAAGATCAAAACTAGCACTTTGAATTAGATTTAAAAAATGACCATGAGTCTGTTAAGGCTTTTATGAATATGTGGATATCTTTGCAGCATTTTGAGTTTAAAGTGAATTGTTTCAACTTTGCTGGAAGTGCGCTGATCTGGATAAATGGCATGCTTATTGACCAGTCCCATTGAACAACTTTCAGCTAAAATGGCTAGATTGATTAATTATAGATTCCAAAAATATAGCTGTTCACAGGCTTCAGAAACATCCTACGGCAGAGTATATAATTTGGTTCCTTATAAATGTGTTTGGATTATTGTATTGAGAACAAGGAAAGGATTTTAAATAAGCCTAACTTACTGCTTCTATGTCATGCAATAATTCTAACAATTTCTGTTGCCAGTCCCTTCTGAAATAAAATTTGACAATTGTGAAAGAATAAATTGCTAAGTTGGCTGTGTGCACTATTTCCAGCTGTAAAGTGTTACGCTATTCATCCTGTGGAAAAAAGATTTTTGGCTCTTCTAGACCAGACATTTGGTTCAGATTATTATTTCCACTGTCCTTAAAGCTAAATTATGGTTGGGTTAATAATCTGTGTATAAAATTTAGAAACGGAACATATGAGTTTATATTTTAATGCATATTCTTAAGCTATTAGGATATTAGTTCTGATTTGTATTTTCCAATTGCTTTATTTGCTATTTATGTCAGAAGTCCCACTAATGAACCCAGCAAAAGGATTCCTCGAGGCAATTAAGTCCAAGCAGGCAAAACTTTATTGGGTACAGCATGTCAGAACTAACGAAGCAAAACCAGCTCTGGGGTTCCCGCGCAAAACTTACATAGTTAAACAATAGATTCCCCAGTCCCCACCCACCAATTGTTCACATTGTCCAATAATACTACTCCTTTTTGTTATGGGAATGGCACACTTCTCCATGAAGCACCTGCGGCAATGACCTTGGCTGTCACGGTCCTTGAACGGCATCCTGGCATTCCATATCCTCCCTTCGGTTTCTACCCCTCCCCCCTTTTCTATGGCAAGTTGATTAGTGATAAAGGTTAACGGGCATCATAGCGATTTGATCTTGACAATTTATTTCTAATTGATTTATTTACTGTTTTCCCACGAGACAAGTTGTATTGGGTTGTGGGTGCAGAAACCCTAATTTTTATGAACCAACTAAGATTTGGTCTTGTTTCATACATATCTTTCTGGTAGGAAATGGTCATTTTGTATACAGATGTAATTTCTAATGTTTCAGTTATGTATATTATTTGTGATGGGAAGCTGTAATAAGTCAGTGAAATTTATCATATATGCACTTAGTGAATGTTACTAACAAGTACTAGACATTGATTGTAACAGTATGTAACTGAATACTGTCTTGTTTGTACATGCTCATTTTATTCTTTTGGGAAAGCCTACCCCTCCCATAGAACCATCCCGTCTTTCCCCTCCCCCCCCCCACTCCAGGCTGCCATCCCGGAAAGGTTGGGGAACTCTGATTTAGGTTCTTGGCTAATAATTCAAAAATTATAAAGTTACATTTACATTCCAAAGCAATCAATACACTTCTAACATCCCCTCTCTATCATACACTGGGTCTAAATCAACAAATATGCAATAAATGTTCCCTTTTGTACACTTCTAAGCAACCAGAGAACAAATATCTGATGTATAATACACACTACCCTAACAGAATTTCCAGATTTTGCTTGTGATCAATATTCTGCCCACATCTTTTCAGTTATGTCTGAAATTAATCCCTCTCTAATTTTCACATTTACTCTTGCTATTTTTCCTTTTAATTAGAAGAATAACTGGATTTTTCCAGTCATTGGGATTTTTCCAATCATTTTTCCATTTCTCACACATGTTAAATAAGTTACACAGCACTCCATGAAAAAAACAAAATCTATACTTTTACATTTTTCCAGGCATACCATGTACATTTGCAACCTTACCATTTTTAACAACTTCATAGTATCCCTTTTTATATATTTTTTTCTTAAATGTTAACATTTTTAGCCTTCATTTACTCCTATCAAAACTGCTCTGTATTTTTGCTGCTTGTTTTAAATAACTCTGTGGTTCTGTGATGACAGAACAAGATTGTTCATAGCTTTTTTTTCAGTATATACATTTATAGTGTCAGGGCTGAGTCTAAACGTTGGAAGTCTTTTCTCTCAAAAACCCTCTGGACTAACACAAACTGGCCCCTCCTTCCTGCTTTGGCGTAGTTGCTTATTAGCTACAGCTTATCTTGCCAGAGGACAGAAAAGAATGTAGAACTTCCTTTTCAAATAGTCCCATACAAAACCTTTCCTGTTGGAGAAGAAAATACAGGGATGCTCAAATCACAGATTCCATTTTAAAAGAAACTCCCTTAGAACAACATATGATTCTAAGTTCAGGTCACCAACCTGTTGTCTGCGGCCCACTACCGGGCCATGGGTTGTTGACCACTGGGCCGCATGAGTGGCTGGCCAGTACACATGCGTGTGCGCACTCTAACCCCCCCTCGTGCAATGTCATGGCATTGCGCAGACGCTAGCAATGCTGTAAGCGTCGGACAGGTGCTAGCATCGCCACTAAGCGCACCCCCCCACTCGTGCTAGCATTATGGTGCTGGCACTATTGTTGCTGCAAGTGCAACATCCCCACTCACACTAGCATCATTCGAGCATTGCGTGGGTGCTAGTGGCTCTGTTTGCATCACGCACGCAATCACAGCCCCGATCGTGTGCGCACAGTCCCATTTATGCATGCATGTGCTTGCACACATAAAGGCGCCTCCACCCCAATGCCTCAGGCCGATAGCCCAGAAAGGTTGGGGACCCCTGTTCTAAGTGAATCATAAAGATCTGCTTCTAATATGAAAAAGTGCATAAAACAATGTACTGAGCAAGTATAAAAAACATAAATATCAGAAGCCAGAAAGAATAAACTAAAGATTTTGTTCTTAGTTAATTTTCCTCTATAGCTCTAAAGAATCGATTAGCCTTGGAACATAGGTTATTCTTCAGTAATCCTGCTTCCTGCAAATTCCAGCTTAAATCTGAGGCTGAGGGAAGATAATAAATTTCACTTGTTTTCAGCCTTTTGTCCAGCAACTTCTACTCAGTTTCTAAAAGGAGAAAACTTTTTTTCCCCTAATTTATAAAAAGGATTAGGTTTGGGGGGCATCTGCTTGCTGCATATTTCTGCTTGTGACAAGATGGGCTGATCTGAATGTCTGAGCTGGCAGCGATGATAGTATATGTGGGGACAGGGACTTGCCTACACATTTATTACAACATTATACAACATCTCTCATTTTTATTTTTTCCAGCAATCATTCTCTTGTAAACCTTTCTTTTCTTATCCAGATACTCTTTGGCCTCATCATGGCACCAAAAATGCAGTAAGAAAGTTGATAAATGGCAAAAATAATAGAGATTAAAAATACAGAATAAAAATGACAGCAGCAGTAATCACAACAGTCCAACAACTGTTGGATTACCAGATGGTCTGCTGGGTTTGTAGCATCTCCTGAAAGGCAATCAGTAATAGGCAACAGTCTTATTTCCAGTGGAATGCTGTTCCAAATAACTGGCCTTGCCTCTGAAAAACAGCATCTCTGGGCTTCAATCATTTGATGATCCATCTGACATTCAAAGTCTCTCATTGCCCCTTGTATCCTTTGCTAATTCTCTCAGTCTTACAGCACAAACAAGGAGACCAATCATTCCTTTAGATTTATGTTAATCTCTTTGCCATGCGTGCATCTCAATAAACCTAATGCTTAAATTACATACAGTATTCAGAAAGGGCCTTTTTCCAAGCAAGCACAGGTACAAGTCCTCAACCTACAATTGGTTTATGGCCCTTTGCAGTGTCCCGCAGTTGCATGACTGCCATTTATGATGATTTTTTTTTTTAACCGGAAACCAGCCTTTATTTCTGGTTTCTGATAAAACAACAACACCCATTGTGAACAACGGGTTCACTTAACAACCAGAGTGTTTACTTAATAAGCGCTACAAAAATGTCGTAAAGTCAATTTGGTCATATGGCTGCCTCGACTTAACCACCG